TCCCCAGCCGGTGGAGGGGCGAAGGGGATCTGATAGGTCGACCCACCCTGCCCCTGGAAAGTCAGTACAACAGGCAGACTTTCATGTTGGTCAAAACTGTTTTAGTAGAAAGCAAAAACAAAAAATGGTTAAAATGATGAACTAGGGGCACAGTTGAGCCAGGCGTTCTGTCTTTCCCCCATTATCGACGTACTTGCCAGAAGAGCGCTCTACCCGCCAGAAGAAATAGCCGTGAGCAAACGGTGTTACGCATGAACCCACACCTTTCTATTTATCCATTAATCACCCTGGGGAGGGATGAAAAATGAGAGAATGAAGAATAGAGAGGTGTAAGTTGAGAGAAAAGTGAGGAAAAGGGTTTTGAGAGAAAATCCGAGCTCGAGAGCCGAGTGATGTGAGAATCACAAATCAGAAGGAGGTGAAACAATACCCAGATTGAACTGGCTCCTCGTGGTCCGAGGTCCCCCCATCTTTGCTAACGCGTCTGTGTGTCGTGTCTTTTCTTTTGTTTATCTCAACCGTTGTTTTAGGTCTTTTTCGAGCGTGTCTCGTTGTGTTTAGGTCGTGTACCTTTTTGTTCGAGTCCTCCCGCTGTGTTCAGTTGTAGGCTTGATACCCCGGTTTGAAAAACCCTCATTGAATTTCAGAATTGTTTACACCCAGAATGCGGTGCCATTCTCTACATTGAAGCATGCTTCAACTCCAACCGGTTCCGCCTTTGAGCTCCGTCTTGTCAGATTGGGCCGTTCACTCAGGTGTGCTGTATGCAGAATGAAACAAATGCCGCGTTATGGGCTGTATGCAGATTAATCCCCAACAGAGTAAGGGCTGTGTGTCCAAGAATCAGGCAGTGGGTTGCTTGGGTTATTTTACTGTCGGCTGTTTAGTTATCTGATTATTACAAGTGCAAGTGTTCAATTTTCAGACAACCAATCAATTTCATCTACATGGAGGTGTGGCATGATAGAATGCGATGTGATGCATGAGATATGTAAATGTAACACTTTTTAAGCAAAAATCTGTTCATTTCATAGTCTTTTTCAAGTACAAAATTTTGAAGAAAATAAAATCTGCCTGCAGCAGTACAAGGTAATCTAACTACCAAGGAAAAGAGGAAAAGTACAAGAAAGAAGAAAAATGACAAAAATCCGCATCTGTGTCGAGCACTCCAAGGGCCGTCAGTCTGTCCTGGTCCTCTTCCTGGACGAGGGTCCAGGAGCATCATCAGCATCGTCGTCAGAGCCCGAGCTAGAACCGCCTCCGGTCTCCTCCTCCGATGACTCGGACTCCGCCTCTGCCTCCGCCTCTGACTCCTCGTCATCATCATCATCCGGGAATGGAGCTCGTGAGCTACTCCCGACATGAGTACGCCCCGCCTTGGAGCGGGGGAATACTCGGCCCTCCTCATCTCTCCCCCGGGCAGGGGCGGAAGGTCCAGCTGGAGCACCTCCTGCCATGGGAATCTGGAAAGGAGGCTGAAAAAGTACATAAAAAGGGAAATGCATCAGTACACTGTGAACAGTTTAAAGGTGCAGAATGCAGTGTATGCAGTGTATCAGATGCTGTGAGATCAGTGTATCAGGTGTTGTGCCATGCATCAGATTATGTGAAGCAGTATATGAATGGTTTGAGGCCAGTGTCAGAAGAACATACCGGTATGCTGTAGAGGGCCAGGAGATCAAAGGTCCGCTGGAGCATCCCCATCACA